CCAATAAACCTTTATCACACTTTGTCAAGACAGTTGACAAACTCAGGAGTTGTCGAAGTCCGCAGAACACCGATATGTTCTGTGGCAGGACAACCAAAGCACTGATAAGGTGTACTGTCAGCCTATTTGTCCAGGGATGAAGGACGTCTGGCAGGGTGGCGATGGCTGATCAGACCAGTGATATAGCCCCTAATACCTCCCCACGTCCACAGATCAATCAGTCTCAGCAGCAGCAGCCGGACTAGGATGCAAGTAAACATCCGACAACACTCTTGTGGTGCTACTTGCTGTGACAACTGTAAGTAAAGAAAGTGGAGAAAGCTCCATACCCCAGACTACCTACAGGGAATGTGTCAACTAGGCTTCAGTGTCAGATAAAGATGGCGCTGCAAGTCTCCCTTGGTTTTACAACGATACCGAACAGGTTTTATCCATATTGTATATCTTTTACAGCAGAATCACGAGGTTTGAATAAAATCTACTGAATCCTCTAATTATTATAGAAAAAGGCTATAGCATGTACTGGTTACATTATATACTGGTGTAGGGAATAGCGTATTTACCTTTCCGTGCGTTCCATGTGACTACAACTTGTAATAAATATGGAGGTCATCACGCGTGTGTGTTGTTATGTGTAGAGAGTTCATCACGCCTGTGTGTTGTAATGTGTAGAGAGGCCATCACGCTTGTGTGTTGTAATGTGTAGAGAGGCCATCAAGCTTGTGTGCTGTAATGTGTAGAGAGGCCATCAAGCTTGTGTGTTGTAATGTGTAGAGAGGCCATCACGCTTGTGTGTTGTAATGTGTTCAGAGATCATCACGCTTCTGTGTTGTAATGTGTTCAGAGATCATCACGCTTCTGTGTTGTAACGTGTTGACAGACTTTCACGCTTGTGTGTTGTAATGTGTGGAGAGGCCATCACGATTGTCTGTTGTGGGTGAGTGAGTATTCCAGATTTTTCACTGCGTGTCAGCTTAATACGGGAGGAAAGCCCGAAGAGACGCAGGTATCAGACGTTTACCACTTCGGTGAAACCCACAAGTACGAGTATGGTGCTGACAAACCTAGAAAAATAATCGGGGCGAACCGGGACTCGAACCTACAATCATAGGTTTCTGGCGTGTCCAAGGGACGCAACTCTACACAGCGAATCGCGGCGCCTTAGATGACCGGGCCACCCGTGGCCCCCTTGTGTCTTGTAATGTGTTGAGAGGACATCATGCTTTTGTGTTTTCGGATGGTTAATGTCCTGTAATAGGAATAAACACTCTCATTAGCGAACCTTGGCGAGCTGAATATATGTTGTTTATTCATTCCAAATACCGAACATCCCAAATCACACAAGCGTGATGGCCTTTCTACACATTACAACACGCACGCGCGATGCTCTCTCTACACATTACAACACAAGCGTGATAACCTCTTTGTCACATAATGTCATTCTTGAATTATGTCGTCGATGTCATCTCTCACAAAAGTTACTGAACAATGCTGGAATGTGCACATTAATGTTTATAAAAAAAAAAAATTTAAACTATTCCAGTGTCATATTGTTGGATTGTGCAAGTTCGTGGTTTTAAACGAATAGGTGGTGACAGAGACCAAAATGTCATGAACTGTGTGTATTTACATTGTGAATATGATATATTTCTGTCGATGTAATATGAATCGGTTATTTCTAGTTCGATGTGTGGGAAATTTGGTGTGCACATTAATATATCATACGTCAGAAGGTCAGTGATCAGTCTGTCGGAGAGTCACTATAATTCCGACTGTTTTTCAGACAGTGGCGTAACTACATACATGTTTATAAATAAATATTTTGTTTCTACTTGCCCGCTAGAGCAATTGCCCTTCATCAAAGGGAAGCAATTCATGTCTATGAAATGTCACGTTAGCCTAGATTGTGTCTTCCATGTCAGTGAGTGAGTGTGGTTTTACGCCGCTTTAAGTAATATTCCAGCAATATCACGGCGGGGGACGCCTGAAATAGGCTTCACACATTGTACCCATATCGGGAATCGAACCTGGGTCTTCCGCGTGACGAGCGAACGCTTTAACCTCTAGGCTACCCGACCGCCCCTTGCATGTCATAAGATCATGAAATGCAGTCAGATGTCTTCAAAGCGACAAAAAGAAATGTGAAATGACATATTTAGGGCAAATCCTACTGTTATAAATGGGTAAAATACCACAAGCCGCACAGGTATACAAGCACAGGTTGACAAGCACAGGTTGACAAGCACAGGTGTGAAGGATGATCCCGCTATCGCCGATAGACAATGGCCGCGCCATGTTTGTTTATAAACACTGAAAGAAGGACCTACCTGACCTTTAATATTTGCATATTTATCCGTTTATGACCCCGACGGATACTGTTTTTATACGTTTTTTTCCTGCCGAGAAACCTACCGATTATATGATAACTGTTATATAGCGGTAAAGTGTAACTACCCTCAGCATGCATCTCGCAACTTGTGATGTGTCCTATATCATATACCGCTCAAGTGGAACATTGTATTCACTTTAGAATGATTCGTACAAGGGCACGTGTATAAGTACTACACTGTATGTGTATCAGTACTACACTCGTGTATGTGTATCAGTACTACACTCGTGTATTTGTATCAGTACTACACTGTATGTGTATCTATACTACAGCCGTGGTACCCGTGTATCTGGCAGCTACATGGGAACAAAGAGATATTTTCCAAACTAAAAGTGACGGAGTTTAACGTTTGGCCCGTGGTATAGAAAGACTGCGTGTCATCAGGGTTGTCATCAAACATTCGACTGTTATTGCGAACACAGCCCGTGTATACAAAATGGTTGTTGCTGAAGCGGTCGCTATACACCGACTACAGCCAGCATATCGTTTATCAAATACCTGTTGTGAAATGTGAATGGAGGCTGTCTAGACGGCGGAGATAAAGACGTTGCCTGGGAGTTGCTGTTAATACATACCGTTTAAGTGTTATCTCGTTATATTTTGATTAATAAATTTACACTGTGTTGTACCTATTTCAAGTAATTCGTGATCATATATAGATAGACGTACGTGTAGACAGGTGTCTGCATTGTGAATAGTCTCACGCTGTCTCCTCTTTCAGGAGACGGCTGGTTTACTGAACTGATTGAATGATAAAATCTAAGGCAAAACGGAGAAAAGAAATATGCTTCTGAGTGGTGTTCATGTTTAGAGGTTCAATTATCGGGCGCCCTTTGACTGGCGTTCAGTTTGTTGCAGTGCCTACAAATAATGATAGCAACAGATCCAACACTTGTTTAGCTTTATTGTGATGTCTGTGTGATGGAATAGAATCTTCACTATATGACGATCGGTTCGAATCCCAAATGCGTTCTGACCACGACCCCTAACAGTACCATACCCGTGTTTATAGTGTTACAACCTGCGTCACTTGGGGAGTCCCTCCCATATTAACAACCCGAATGTTGTGTAGATGAAACAATCCACCCGAATGTTGTGTAGATGAAACAATCCATCCGAATGTTGTGTATGTGAAACAATCACCGCAAATGTTGTGTAGATGAAACAATCCACCCGGATGTTGTGCAGATTAAACAATCCCCCCGAATGTTGTGTAGGTGAAACAATCCACCCGATTGTTGTGTAGGTGAAACAATTCACCCGAATGTTGTGTTGGTGAAACAATTCACCCGAATGTTGAGTTGGTGAAACAATTCACCCGAATGTTGAGTTGGTGAAACAATCCACCCGAATGTTGTGCAGGTAAAACAGTTCACCCGAATGTTGTGTTGGTGAAACAATCCACCCGGATGTTGTGCAGATGAAACAATCCCCCCGAATGTTGTGTAGGTGAAACAATCCACCCGAATGTTGTGTAGGTGAAACAATTCACCCGAATGTTGTGTTGGTGAAACAATTCACCCGAATGTTGAGTTGGTGAAACAATTCACCCGAATGTTGAGTTGGTGAAACAATTCACCCGAATGTTGTGTAGGTGAAACAATTCACCCGAATGTTGTGTTGGTGAAACAATCCACCCGGATGTTGTGCAGATGAAACAATCCCCCCGAATGTTGTGTAGGTGAAACAATCCACCTGAATGTTGTGTAGGTGAAACAATTCACCCGAATGTTGTGTTGGTGAAACAATTCACCCGAATGTTGAGTTGGTGAAACAATTCACCCGAATGTTGAGTTGGTGAAACAATCCACCCGAATGTTGTGTAGGTGAACCAATCCACCCGAATGTTGTGTGGGTGAAACAAACCACCCGGTATCAGCACGATAAAGGACGGCTGTGCCAAACTATCCAGCAGCACTACACAAGTTATCATTATAATCAAGTTTCGTTGACATTAATGGCATTGCGTGTTATCGTCAAATGGTTTACGTCTCGATGATAATAGCTTTCTTTTCAAGCAAACATTTCACGATGAGATTGTTGAGTGTATCTGACCAGAGTGCTTGAGACGTGACACATTGACACAAACAGCTCGGCAAGTCCAGCCCGTGCATATCTTGGTGAGCGTGGCTTTCAATATCAACGTAATTTGCTGCGTAGACGTAGTGTAGTTTACTGCAGTTTAGTGTAGTTTAGTGTTGTTTAGTGAAGCTTAGTGTAGTTTTGTGAAGTTTAGTGTTGTTTGGCATAGTTTAGTAAAGTTTAGTGTTGTTTGGCATAAGTTTAGTGCAGTTTTGTGTTGTTTGGCATAGTTTAGTGTAGTTTAGTGTTGTTTAGTGAAGTTTCAAGTTGTTTAGTACAGTTTAGTGTAGTTTAGTGTTGTTTTGTGAGGCTTAGTGTAGTTTTGTGAAGTTTAGTGTTGTTTGGCATAGTTAAGTGAAGTTTAGTGTTGTTTGGTATAGTTTAGTGCAGTATAGCGCAGTCGTCCGTGTGTTTTCGCGTAGTTTGACTCGATTATTTAGTGATAATTAGATTTACTATTTCCCACATTGTGACGATAAACAACGTTCAGTCTGCAGTTTTATACAAGATGTACTCTTGTTCATTGTAGTGTCGCAGCGTTGATGGCGTTGCGGGTCGAGGGAGGGAACACGCTCCAGTGAGTACTTACCGAAATATCTGTTTATGAGGTACACCCATCCCACTGAGGATAGACCAGAAGCACATACCACAAATATATCAGCTACTCCTTGTAAACGACCAGCATAAAATACTTCAGTTTTCTAATAACTAAAAAGCGATGATTGTAAACGATCTGAATTAGAGTCTCCTGCATTTGTTTATAAAATCATTTGCCTAGCAACGAGATGAAGAGTGTACACATGGCTACACACTGGCTGTGTGTGATGACGCGGACAGTCACAAGGGGGCGCCACACACCTGTCCAGGTAACGCCGGGGCTTCTGGGTAAAGAACATCGACGAGCGGACGTAAATCAGAGAAACGCAAGTCAAGTCGCTGTTACTGTGGTGTCGGAGTGAGTGAGTGAGTTGGGTTTAACGCCGCTTTTAACATTATTCAAGTTATATCTCGGCGTGTCAGCTTAATGTGGGAGGAAAGCCCGAAGTGATGCAGTTCTCAGACGTTTACCACTTCGGTCAAACCCACGAGCACAGGTATTGTGCTGACTCTGCAGTATGGAGGCGGTGTGGAGGTAATATATAGTATAGAGGTTGTACAGAGGAAGTCCCCGCAGACACACAGGTTGTACAGAGGGGGTCCCCACAGATACACAGGTTGTACAGAGGCAGCCCCCACAGATACACAGGTTGTATAGAGGGAGTCCCCACAGACACACAGGTTGTACAGAGGGAGCCCCCACAGACACACAGGTTGTACAGAGGGGGTCCCCACAGACACACAGGTTGCACAGAGGAAGTCCCCACAGACACACAGGTTGTACAGAGGGAGCCCCCACAGACACATAGGTTGTACAGAGGCAGCCCCCACAGACACACAGGTTGTACAGAGGGAGCCCCCACAGACACATAGGTTGTACAGAGGGAGCCTCCACAGACACACAGGTTGTACAGAGGGAGCCTCCACAGACACACAGGTTGTACAGAGGGAGCCTTCACAGACACACAGGTTGTACAGAGGGAGCCTCCACAGACACACAGGTTGTACAGAGGGGGTCCCCACAGACGCACAGGTTGTACAGAGGCAGCTCCCACAGACACACAGGTTGTACAGAGGCAGCCTCCACAGACACACAGGTTGTACAGAGGGAGCCTCTACAGAGACACAGGTTGTACAGAGGGAGTCCCCACAGATACACAGGTTGTACAGAGGGAGTCCCCACAGACACACAGGTTGTACAGAGGGAGCCTCCACAGAGACACAGGTTGTACAGAGGCAGCTCCCACAGACACACAGGTTGTACAGAGGGAGCCCCCACAGACACACAGGTTGTACAGAGGGAGTCCCCACAGACACACAGGTTGTACAGAGGGAGCCTCCACAGACACACAGGTTGTACAGAGGGAGCCTCCACAGACACACAGGTTGTACAGAGGGAGCCTCCACAGAGACACAGGTTGTACAGAGGGAGTCCCCACAGACACACAGGTTGTACAGAGGGAGCCTCCACAGACACACAGGTTGTACAGAGGGAGCCTCCACAGACACACAGGTTGTACAGAGGGAGCCTCCACAGAGACACAGGTTGTAAAGAGGGAGTCCCCACAGACACACAGGTTGTACAGAGGGAGCCCCCCACAGAGACACAGGTTGTACAGAGGGAGCCCCCACAGAGACACAGGTTGTACAGAGGGAGCCTCCACAGAGACACAGGTTGTACAGAGGGAGCCCCCCACAGACACACAGGTTGTACAGAGGGAGCCTCCACAGAGACACAGCTTGTACAGAGGGAGTCCCCACAGACACACAGGTTGTACAGAGGGATTCCCCACAGACACACAGGTTGTACAGAGGGAGCCTCCACAGAGACACAGGTTGTACAGAGGGAGCCTCCACAGATACACAGGTTGTACAGAGGGAGCCTCAACAGACACACAGGTTGTACAGAGGGAGCCTCCACAGACACACAGGTTGTACAGAGGGAGCCTCCACAGACACACAGGTTGTACAGAGGGAGCCTCCACAGATACACAGGTTGTACAGAGGGAGCCTCCACAGACACACAGGTTGTACAGAGGGAGCCTCCACAGACACACAGGTTGTACAGAGGGAGTCCCCACCGACACACAGGTTGTACAGAGGGAGTCCCCACAGACACACAGGTTGTACAGAGGGAGTCCCAACAGATACACAGGTTGTACAGAGGGAGCCTCCACAGAGACACAGGTTGTACAGAGGGAGCCTCCACAGAGACACAGCTTGTACAGAGGCAGCCCCCACAGACACACAGGTTGTACAGAGGGAGCCTCCACAGACACACAGGTTGTACAGAGGGAGTCCCCTAGGATACACAGGTTGTACAGAGGGAGCCTCCACAGAGACACAGGTTGTACAGAGGGAGTCCCAACAGATACACAGGTTGTACAGAGGGAGCCTCCACAGACACACAGGTTGTACAGAGGGAGTCCCCTAGGATACACAGGTTGTACAGAGGGAGCCTCCACAGAGACACAGGTTGTACAGAGGGAGTCCCAACAGATACACAGGTTGTACAGAGGGAGCCTCCACAGATACACAGGTTGTACAGAGGGAGCCTCCACAGACACACAGGTTGTACAGAGGGAGCCTCCACAGACACACAGGTTGTACAGAGGGAGTCCCCACAGACACACAGGTTGTACAGAGGGAGCCCCCACAGACACAGGTTGTACAGAGGGAGCCTCCACAACACACAGGTTGTACAGAGGGAGTCCCCACAGACACACAGGTTGTACAGAGGGAGCCTCCACAGACACACAGGTTGTACAGAGGGAGCCTCCACAGACACACAGGTTGTACAGAGGGAGCCTCCACAACACACAGGTTGTACAGAGGGAGTCCCCACAGACACACAGGTTGTACAGAGGGAGCCCCCACAGACACAGGTTGTACAGAGGGAGCCTCCACAACACACAGGTTGTACAGAGGGAGTCCCCACAGACACACAGGTTGTACAGAGGGAGCCTCCACAGACACAGAGGTTGTACAGAGGGGGTCCCCACAGACACACAGGTTGTACAGAGGCAGCTCCCACAGACACACAGGTTGTACAGAGGCAGCCTCCACAGAGACACAGGTTGTACAGAGGGAGCCTCCACAGAGACACAGGTTGTACAGAGGGAGCCTCCACAGAGACACAGGTTGTACAGAGGGAGCCTCCACAGAGACACAGGTTGTACAGAGGGAGCCTCCAGACACAGGTTGTACAGAGGGAGCCCCCACACAGGTTGACGTAAGAGGCGACTGCATGATGAAGTCGTCAGGCTCGCTGACTTGGTGGATGCATGTCATCGTATCCCAATTGCGTGGATCGATGCTCACGCTGTCAGTCACTGGATTGTCTATTCAAGACCCGATTATTTACAAACCGCCGTCATATAGCTGGAATATTGTGAGTGCGGCGTAAAACAACAAACACACACACACTATCCCTGGTACTTCTGCTCCGACAGTGCCAATGAGATTGCTACATTTGGTTTCCGTCAGATGAGACGTGACGTCACGTGACATTCCCAGCGCATAACTGTGACTTTATTTCTGTTGTGCTTTTTTCGTAATTCTATGATGAAGAAATACAAACTTTTGGTAAAAATCCTGAATCGCTCCGACACGTGCACCGCTATAAATCAGAAAAATGTACGTGTCAGAAAAACCAGCTGCGCAGCATGCCAGTACGCATGGGCAAAACACGGCAAGGGAAATCCTCGTGTTCTGTTTCTGCAGAAGTCATTATTATCTTTCACGCGTCAACAACTTCCGGTTGATTCGCTCATTGAATACACCGGGTAGGGTTGTGCGGGAAAGTCAGCACGGACATCTGGCGGGAAACATGGCGACGTGCACACTCTGCATGTGTAACCAGTTATAAATGACTGGAGCAGATGAAACACGTGATTAATATATGCACGCGAGGAGATGTTGAGAGAGACGAGTAAAACTGACAAAACATAATTACTTGCAAGGGTATTCTGCCCCTCGGTAACCACAGCTGTTGAGCAATCATTTGTGTGGCTCATCTATATCACGAAACAAAGTGTGACGAACAGCTTGGCAACAGTTGGCTTCATCCCTGTGCCCGATAGAACATAGATTGATCTTGTCAACACTCCTATTATTTGACAGCCAGGCCAACTATTTAATTCACTCAGTCACCGACACATTCATTCATTGACACACTCACACGTATTCATTGATATGTTCATTCACTGGGACAATCACTCATTGATACATTTTTTCACTGGGACAATCACTCATTGATACATTTATTCACTGGGACAATCACTCATTAATACATTCATTCACTGGGACGATGACTCATTGATACATTCATTCACTGGGACGATGACTCATTGATACATTCATTCACTGGGACGATGACTCATTGATACATTCATTCACTGGGACAATCACTCATTGATGCATTCATTCACTGGGACGATGACTCATTGATACATTCATTCACCGGGACAATCACTCATTGATGCATTCATTCACTGGGACGATGACTCATTGATACATTCATTCACTGGGACGATGACTCATTGATACATTCATTCACTGGGACGATCACTCATTGATACATTCATTCACTGGGACAATCACTCATTGATGCATTCATTCACTGGGACGATGACTCATTGATACATTCATTCATCGGGACAATCACTCATTGATGCATTAATTCACTGGGACAATCACTCATTGATACATTCATTTACTGGGACAATCACTCATTGATACATTCATTCACTGGGACAATCACTCATTGATACATTCATTCACTGGGACAATAACTCATTGATACATTCATTTACTGGGACAATCACTCATTGATATATTCATTCATCGGGACAATCACTCATTGATACATTCATTTACTGGGACAATCACTCATTGATATATTCATTCATCGGGACAATCACTCATTGATACATTCATTTACTGGGACAATCACTCATTGATATATTCATTCACTGGGAC